TCAATTAGGCATCCTTGGATTCTATGGAACTGGCCAGGAAAAAAAGTGGCAGATCATGTTACTGTTATTTTTCTCAACATTTTTGCAAATGTGCAAAGCAAATAAAATGATTTCACAGTGTTACATGGGAAAATCATGATATTGAATGGAGGGATTCCGCTGTTTTGAAGAACATCCCGAGGCTCGGTACCTTGTAACAGAGATCCAATCGATGCCTGTGGCTTTAATCACATCTAAGTTTAATGCTAGCCACATCTCCGAGGTCTAATGCTTTACTTTCACACCAAATTACTTTTTAGCCCAGGGCACATTTTCTGAAAAAAAAAATGTATCTGTGGTCACAGCTTGAACAGTACGGCCATGATCCATTGATTGACACACGGCTAAAGGCTGAATCCCACTGGAGAGGATTCCTCGTAAAGCACATGCAGTAGCAGGAATCCTGCCTGTTTCTGTGGAATTACTGCACATGTAACGAGATATTTATTACAGAGTACGGTGCCCAAAGCCTTACGACAACTTTTTTTCATTTATAGCGAGCCTGGATTCAGGTGCAGACTAGTGCTGAACACAATCACAACCCCTTTATCAGGTTTGGTAGCAGTTTCTTATTGAACCTCCAACAATTGCCAATAATCCGATGAGAGAGTGAAATAAACCTTGGAACTCTGGTAGTTAATTAAAATCCTCATTGGAAATTTGGTTCATTTCATTTCATCATTTTAGATCCATTCCTCCAGTTTCACTTTATCATTCTGATTCCCCTGAAAACTGGATTTGCCTGTGTGAAATAGACAATATTCTCAAATGCATTGTATATCTGATTTTTAATAATAAAGGATTGTCTTGTAATCCAAAGCAACTTGTGAGATGAAGCGGCACACTTTAAAAGAACCAGAGTGCCATCATGTGGAGGACATATTTAAATGCAAGGTGCTGTGTGGACTGCATTATATAAACTGTTACACTATTAAAAGTATTTACAGGAGTGACAGCATATTTCAGTGACCTAAGTTATTGTTTTTTGAAACTTATTGTGTATTTTCTGTTTAGAGACTTGATTTAGTAGAAGAAAAAAAACATCCCTCATGTCCCTGGTGTAAAAAGAGGACAGTTTCAGTTGGTTCCTCCAGATGTCTCTCTTTACCCAATTGTATTTGCATATTTGGGAAATCACACAATCCCAAACAGTGAGGATCTAGGGGGGGACAGTTGTTCAGATGGCACTGAGTGTACACAAGTACATGCAAAGTCCAGAATATACAATGTCTGTCCATTTTCCATATATTGTAAATACTGGTATGTTGGCATTTGCACATTTATGCACTCTTCTCAGCGCCAAGAGCTGAACCATGTTCTGCTATTGTAATCTAAGGGTCTGCTGTGGTTATAGAAATAGCACACGGAGCTGGGTTGGCCCATAGACATAAAAACTGCAACTAAGTGAATAAAAATAAAATTTTTAGTTTAAAGAAATGAGGCTTGTGTTAGAATTCCAGACAATACTTAGTAAGTGACTACCAGATAAGCAGCATTTGCTTTTGGATGAGTTTTGTGGGATTACAAAAGAATAATTTTGTTATGCTACTTATAGAGGCATCCTTTTACCACCTTCCTTTATACAGAGTATCTGATGATTGGAAGAGCACTTCCATGTATTTCCCTTTGCCAGGAGACAGTTCACAGAAAGCTGAGAGGACACAGGGAGAAGAAAGGGAGATTAATGATAGGCCTCATTATAGAGCTATTGTTTCGTATCTGTTAAAAACACAGTTGGTTAAACTTGATTTCAACAGCTAAACCAGCACAGCGGACACTGACCAGAAACAATGATGTGGTCAGAGGTCAACATTCATCACGGAGATAAAACAGACAACTCTAAAAGGACTTTTCCAGTGACGACTCAGTGCGAGGAATGCCGGTTTACTATCAATCATGCTACTGATCGTGTAAGAGATCTCGCCTAAGATCTCAGACCTTGACTCAGCTCAGCTGTACTGACACATTGTGCTGAGAAGATGCAGAATGATCTTCAAAGTTTTTATATCCTTTTGTTCTCCTCAGCCCTCCTCTGCTGACTATAATCCCACCCTTCTTTTCCAAAGTCCCCTGGGTTTTCCCAGTCAGAAACACTGCTCTCTGAAGAATCTGGAAGCACCCAGATGAGTGGAAATGGTGCCAGAGTGCTTTTCTGTCACTTTTACTGACCCAAAAACACAGCCAAGTTCAGTTCACCCCGAGGGCCCGTATAGAAAGATACAAATAAACAACGCACTGATAAAGAACTGGGGTGAATATCTGCATCATCGAAGTTTAGATTTTTGACAGCCACAAAACACAGAGGACATGCAGGAACCTACTGAGCCACATGCGAAACTAGGCCGGACAAATGCTGAATGCTAAAAATGCCAAAAATGCCAAAAAACAAGAACATTTAATGTTTTATGAAGAAAGTCCATCCAGAGTGCACTTATGACTTAAATTCCTAAAAAATCTGCTGTTTCCTCCCTTGCTCTAAAACAGGAAGTAGAACTGTGCTTGCCTTCCGCTCGTCTTGTTTATTGGAACCCGCCTTCCTGTTTTCAGATTCATCCTGATAATGGCTGAAAGTCCCCAGCTGAAAGCCTCTCTCTCTCTCTCACACACACACACACACTGTCAAATCCCCCTCATTCCTTTTTTTCCTCCCTCCCTGCGCCTCTTTCTCCCTCTTGCTGTCTCTCAGATCACTGCTAGATAAGTCATTTTGTGAGACCTTCCAATCACCAGCAACATTCAGACCTTTCAGCACATTCCAGCTGTCCGTATGCATGTGCCGACTGAGGTGGTATTTATGTGTGTGTATAAGTGTGCAAAAAAAAAAAAAAAAAGGCTCATGATTGATTAACCCAAGTGATTGGAAGGTTCAAAGAGTCAAATGTCAAAGCGTTAGCTTGTAGGATGAGCTCAGATGTGTGTGTGTGTGTGAGTGAGATTTGGGGATTGTGCCATGTGCACCCAAGCCAAGGAAATATGCAGGTCAGTGCAGAGGGAATGTCAGGAATGTCAGTGTAATTCAAACTCTTGTCTGCCACCGGAGGCGAGTGCTACCTGGAAATAGTTTTTACACCAAAAGTGGGCAAATATGGGTGTGTGTGTGTGACTTTACATCAGAGCATGGTCATGCATAAGGAGTCTTATACACGGTCGTGACAGCAATCGGCGCCATCTAGGGACATGTGCTAAAGTTCCACAGTGTTTTCCAAACACCTGCACCGAAAAACAAGATTTCCCCGACTTCCCAGCTGTTCTCACATGACCTACACCTCCCGAATCAAGTTCCCAGGCTTTTAGTAAGCCTTTCATTTGATATCACAACATATCGGCCAACCCCTCCCTCCCTCCTTCCCTTCCCTGTCTGTCTGGCTTTTTCACGGCAGCCTGTTTTCACTCAGCAGCTTTGACAAAGACTGGCGAAATAATTACAGCTGGGCCTAAACTGGGTTTGTCTCCAGTAATCTCCACCAAAAACCAATGAGTGCGGACTGTGTCATAGGAAGAGGAGGAAGAGGCTGATTGTTCTGAAAACGAGAAGCCAGTGACATCATTTCAAAGAGCTCTGTTCCGAGTGTTCAACACTCGGGGTAAATGGGCAACAAAATAAACTCGCTGTAATGCACGCGGCTCGCCAGACACCAACAGAACTTATCATTTCAGGCAGAAGCCCATCTCCATTCATCGCCCATTTCCCCGCTTTCTTTTCCCTCATACAAGATGCTGCTTTAATGAGTTTATTTTCCAAAGATCAGAGACTGCTTTTTCTGTCTGTACAAACCAGATCTGAGCTGAAACATTTGTCCCGTTTCAGCCAGGATGTCTTTTGTGATGGCCCGGGGACAGCAGGAAGACTGCTTGGGGTTCTGAGGAAGTGTGAGTAAGGGGAGGGAGGAAAGGAGTGAGGGACTGGAGGCAAAGGAGAGGAACAAAGACATAAGTTAACTTTATGAGAAAAGATGAACAGAACACATAAGAAATGACAGAAGGCATTAATTTAAATCAGTCAAATGTAGCTTTCTATATGTATAGTATAAAAAAGGGGGAGGGGGGGGGGGGCAAGCCATTAGCTCGGCAAATGAAGACGTGACCTAAGATGCTCCATCATACGAGGGGGTCATATGAAGATGAGGTGGCTTTAATTCGCAGTGACAGCTGCTTATGAGTTATCTGGGGAAGTGTAGCATGTAAATCACCGTCTTGCTGCTACTACAACCGCTACACCCTGGAGCACTCCAGGGACAGCAGAGGAGAGGAGTACGGCTCCATGGGCAAGCAAGGGAAGCATGGACACGCAGAGATATTTACATACAGTCAGACAGACTTCCTGGCATTGTCAGCCCGAGAGCGTTGATGTCAGATCCACTCCTTCCTGTGCAGAAGGGAGAACGCTATGCGATGACAATGGGCCCAAAAACAGGACAAAGAGGAAATGTTTAAATTTAGGCCCCTTCTTCCACCATCTCCTCTTTCACAGCTATGGAGCTCTGGAGCTGTTTAGTTTTGTGAATTCCTTCAGCCCCCCCACCACCCTGCCTCTCCAGAGCTCCCTCTCCCCATTGTGTCATTTCAATAGAAGGATTTTCACATTCAGAGCAAATCCCAAAGGAGGATCAGCTAGTGAGACCAGAGTTCAGTCAATCACTTGTTTTCACTGATGTTCCTTTAGAAATTATAAGTGCTTTCTCATAAATCCACCCAACAAATAGAAGAGAAGAGAAAAAACCAAAACATACATAAATATGTGCTTAAAAAGCGAGTGGAAAACAGATGAGGGGTTTTTAATGAGCTGAAGACTTAAAATGGGATTAAAAATGTGATAAATATTATTTATAAAATGAAATGTTTCCAGCATAATTTAGCTCTAAACGCGTTGTTATGAGCCTGTTTAACTCAAATAATTACAGCTGCTCTGCTGGTGTGCAGGCATGTGTGTCTAGGTGTGTGTGTGTGTGTGTGTGTGTGTGTAGGGGGTGTTGGTGTGTGTTTCTCTGTCTGCGTGAGAGCTTTATCACAAATCAGAGTGTCGGCGTCTGTAGAAGCTTACAGGGCAAGAGTTCACCGGTTTGTCCAACTCGTTCTCGGAGTCTTGAGGATAGCGGACGGACTTCACAGGCAACAAAAAAGCCCCAAAACACACGTGATCGGCAAAGGAGTCGCTGCAGTCCACGACTTAACTCATGGATAGAAGTTAAGCCCGCAGAGGACGGCGGATAAGTCTGGCTGACGTTAATAGCGACTGCTGTTATTGACTTTGACGACAGCAGCGACGATGCCTGTTTGACACGGAGGGGGGAAGCTTTCTGCTTTCAGGTAAGTTGTGAGCTCCAACAGCTAACTTCTCTTCAGGAGGACTTGTAAGGGAGAACAAGACAGTTCGTTTTTCGCGGGTGTTACTTGACAAGCAAGTTTATGAAGTTCGTGAATTTCACAGCGAAGCCCACATCGGCTGACTTTTGCGCTATTTCGACTCCTTGTTTTCACTTTTTAAAACACTTTTAAGGTGGTTAAAAACTTAAAAGACCGTTTTACACTTCAGCCTAGCGTTAGGCAAACGTTAATTTTATTGACGCCATTTTTTTTTTAAATGACTTAAACGCCCAGTGCGGCAGCCGTCTGTCGTTCACTGACAGCGGGGTAGAGCGAGCTGCTGGTGCCCTTAAAACTTTTGTGACACAATAAATACTGAAAGCCAAAACTTAGTGAAACTTAGTGTATATCTCATTACAGTATAACTACCAAGCAGGGTGTATAACACTGAGCAAAACTCATAATGCTGCTATCAGAGAATAACAGTCTTTTAAAGCCATTTAAAAAAAGTACATGAACTTTTCTGTTTAAATGCTAAAATAAATACTAGCTAATGTGTGTAATTAGACAGCGCTTGTAAAACTGTCATTTCTTCTTTTTCTAATTATTTTTTTTAAACTTTTTGCGCAGCTACTGTTTATTTAAATAGCCCTCTGAAAGGCTTATCAGTAAATTGAATTGTAAAATTGTGCTGAGAGGCCAGCTTAATTGAAACGCATCTTTCGTTGTGATCTGAGGGAACAACAAAGATTTGTGCTGGGGGGCCTCCAATTACACAAAATGCTTCCATACATTTAAAGGGATTACAGTAGAAGGGGGTGCTATTAGCATGTGGTGGGTTCGCTGTGTCACCGAGCATCTTCTTCCTCAGAGGGAGCTTATCTGAGCTCTGATGATGTCACAGCTGGAGCGGTCCTGAAATAACCACACATCTCTGTAGTGGGTGTTTCCATGACAACACATCCTCTCGGTTTAAATGGTGGATGGCAACTGTGTCGTAAATAATTACTTTGAATAATATGGGCAAAATACTGGGAAAGTGGGGAGCTGGGTGTTGACTTGTTGCACAGACGTCTGCCTCTCGCAATCACAGAATGAGACTTTGAATACTGTCATGGCGTTTCAGTATTTAAGCTCATTGTATTGGTTATTCTTGAATGTTTGACCTGCGAATAAAATTCAGTTTATTTAATATCCTCCGCTGATATTTCCCAAATTTGTGGTGCCCATCTACAGGCAGGCATTCTGAGCGAGTTACATTGGAGTAAGGATGATATAAAATGACAAGGCAGTCAGTTTAATGTCAAACTCCTGAATAAAAATGTGGTTTTGTTCCTCTAGGTGATTGAGAAAGGGAAGGGCCTGAAACATGATGTCCATTGGAACTGATAGCTGACACCGTAGAATGAGAGAGGATGGAGCAGACAGGCAACCCTGCCCTTGAGAGCAACAACCCTAATGGGTTTGTCAACCGAGTGTTTAATGTTTCTCTGGATGTGGAGAATGAGACCAGCAGTGTTTATATTCAGGAGACTGGAACAGGGCCTGCAGAGGGGCAGGGAGAGACCCAGGCTGCCTCTTCTCAGACCCCTGTCAAGGACAGACAGGAGGTCAACAGGAGGCCTCGTGCCACAGGGGGCATCTGGAGGATCCTGAACCGAAAGCGAGCTGTCTCAGAGCTGGAGAGGAGACCCCACTCCATGATTTTGCCAGGGGAGGCTTCCATCCCGAAACTCTCATTCGCTGACAAAGTTCGATCCTTCAAGAAGCTTAAATCCCCGGCTGTATTCAGAGGGAAGGCAGGGAAATTGTCCACTGCAAAGTTTACCAGCTCTTTGGTGGATGAGGAGTCTTTCTGCCGCGATATTGGCACACCTCAGCAGCCCAGTGGTGGCACGCTTAGACAGCGTGGCCAGAGGCATTCATATGCTGGCTATACAGCACAGTTTGACTGTTTGTTTGAAGACATTGACCTCTCAACTTCTATGGATGGCCATCAATCCACTATAACGGGCGAGGCTGTGACTCAGAATGGCTGCAAACCATCTGAAAAAGTTCCTTATACTAAAAGAAGCCACAACAATTCAGCCAACTGCAACAAAACTGCTGCAGCTTGTGAAGAACTAAGCACTAGAGATAGCCCGAGGACCCACCGGAGTGGAGGAAGGAGGCACAAAGATGTGTGGAGTTACCTGAGGAGGATTTCCCTTTTGGGGAAGACCAATCCTGTGTATTCAGAGAGGAGCTTTGACTCTGAGCTTCCCTCACTGGACAAAACAATAGACTCAGACTATGGCTCTGTGGACTTTGAGAGTGTCAGAGACTTTCAGCCACCTCCCCCAAAACAGTCGGACACCAAGGGGCACTTTGGTGGTCTCTTCAAATTTTTCAACAACTTTGCAGAGACAGCTAGACGATGGCGAACAACATCACGCTCCTTCTCTCCTCCGGAGGGGGAGAAGACTCCGATGAGCTCCCCACGGGCTCCACAGCGCGCAGTGGACAATGTTCACAGTGTGTCTCTGACACTTCACAATGAAGGACTTCCAACATCCCAGCCTACCCCTTCATCACCAGTGACTAGTAAATTCTTACACTCCAATAGCTTTAATGGTGACACTCCAGCACCTGTGACAGGTGGACGATCACCTCCAGTGGTCCTTAAAGCCTTTAGGCCCTGCTCAGGACCTCAGGCTGTCAATGGCCTTCAGAGTTTTGAAGTTACAGACAAACCTGCTGACAGAGAGACAAACCTCCGGTCCAAGGCCATAGTAGAAAATCATGTCCCTCATTTAGGCTTAAACACGGAGGCTGAAAGTGAAGCAGAAGTTGAAAGGGACCAATCAGATTCTCTCTGTCAAGAGGAAAATGTAGCGGGACAGACAGGAAATGAGCAGGATTCCCAAGATGCTCCGCTTGACTCCCACCAGATACAGGAAGTGAATGTCCAATCACAACAAGGTGATAAAGAGAGCACAACCAATAGCGTACCAGCATCAGATTCCACAGAGGAAATATTTAAGGTAGGTAACTTTAAATAGCTAATGAGCCACCGAATTCAAATGAATGCATTCAGTAAACAAGTGTGTACTTTGTGTTGTTAAACCACCTTTGTTTTTCTGTTATTTTTTAGACAAAGGCATTTTCATGTGTAAAGGGTCACGTTTTTATGCCATAACTACATTCCATTGCAGGCTTTTATTCACAATATTAACACTGCCAGAAGCATGCGTCATGTCATTACTTCATAAATGCTGGAAATATCATTTATGTAACTGCTTTAATCATGGTCATTCTTTTGCTTCTGAAAAAACAACAAACGTAGAAGCTAAAAGGGACCAGGGGTGATTTGGTTGCATGCAGGTAGCATACGTGTCAGGAAAAAACAAAAATCATTCAAAGAGCTAGACTATGACATGATTTGGGCACCTGCTTTGCAGTTGTCCTTTTGCCCCATCTGTTGGAGAAAAGAGGAAATAGTAACTGTAAAGGTGCACAACATCATAGTGGAGGAATTTGGCCTTTTCTTGCTTAGTCGGCCTTTCGTAGCCTGCAACAAAACCCCACGTTTCCCACAGAGCCAGGCGTGTGTGTGTGTGGGACTGCGGCAGCCCAGAGTTCTGTGACATCCGCCCATCATGACAGCACCCTTCCCTTCTCACTCCAGTGGCAGAATTAGTCATCTCCCTTCTAGTCACAGCAACGAGTCAGGACATGTTGGCCCCAGCTCCTAATGACAAAATCAGATATGACATCTCAGTACTCAGCACACTTTCATAGGGGCTTATTATGCAAAGGCAAGGGCTTTGGGAGCATGTGTTTTGGGAAGGGTGCTAATGTTTGGTCCCACTGTAAATTAGCAGGGTTCTACGCTGATACCACTCTTAAATGGAAAAGATAATAGGGGCAGAAGGAGGAATTAGCAGATAAAAATAATTCATGTTTAACAGTATTACAAGATGTAACTTAACTTGAAGCCTACTGAAGAATTTCAAGATGGAAAATGTTTTGAGCCTGAAATTCTGCCCTTCTTAGGGCCCAGAGTTCTGTGACATCCCTTCTTAGGGCAGAATTTCACTTATTTAACCCAAATCTTTTTAAAGGGCTTAGTAAACCTGCGTGTGTTGAGAGTTCTGCTTTTTGAAGTCAGTGAAAAACTAAACAAGTAAGCCTTAAAAGAGCTAGCTGAAATCTGTAGGGTGATAAATGTCAGCCTAATTAAGGTTCACAAGCCAAGTAGCTGTGGCATGAAAATGGAATAAAACACAACTTCATTTTTTTGCAGAACTGTTTGTGCCAAATGTGTACACAGATCAGCAGTAGAAGAGAAACTGCAAACACTGATTATGTATTCACACACTGACTTAACTGCAACCCACTGGCTTTGGGGGAACTTGTTTCCCTACTAATACAAGTACCATAATACTTAAAGCCTTGCTTCAAGTATTGTGGTACCTCATTAAGTGAAATTGATCTATTTAATTCAGCCGTGCACTCATGATTTTGAACGTGAGAGGCTGGTAGTTACAAAGTTTTTGCTGCTATCAGGTTTGTATCACCTGCTGACAAGGTGATACAAACCTGACAGCAGCACAAATGTGTTTTGGCCTGTCATCAAGATAAGTTATTGAATTAACACAAGTTTGGCAAGAGCATTGCACATGGACAGCAAAAACTGTGAAGCTGTGTACACCGAGCTTTGCTAAAAAGAGCGTTACAGCTCAAAGTTGTGCCAAAATAATTTGTCACATTTACACTGCAAAGCCCTGTTTAGGGGACGTGATGGCGTGTGACAAGAAAATCCTTCTCAGTAATCACAAATTATTTAAAAATGAAATCCACATGTCTGTTGTGCTGATGTTTCCCTTGATTTGCCAACAGTCTTGTCATTCAGTTACCTACTGATCCACTGCAATTAAGCTACTGGGTAGAAACTTTTAAAATAAAAAAAATTTGAGGCATATTTTGTTGAACCTGCAGAGACATTTTTCTCAATTCCCTACACAAGAAATGTATTGTTGCACCTTTATCTGGGCCAAACTGCTGAGTATCTGTGCCAATCGCAGCTGTGTGAGCAGATTGCCAGCCAGACAGGCTGCAGTGTAAGACAGCCTGGCCCGGCCTTGCCCCACTCGAGCACAGAGAAGACCTCTGTACCTCAGAAGCGCTTGCGCCCTCGTCCTCGCCCGGCATCAGCTGTCCTGGACCTTTGGAGACCCAACCCGGACCGAGATCTCGACAGCCATTACAGTGAGGTCGGCTCACTTTCCCGAAGGAGACGCAGGCCTGCTACCACAGTGCAACACTCTCTGGGGCAGAGAGGGATGACTTCCCGCGCCAGGCCTTGCTCTGTCATAGAAACCAGTGTTACTAGGGAGACGCAGTCCACGGAACTGCATCACAGAGTAAGATGTTAAACTCACTAAAAGCAAACATATAAATATGAACATAGACACGACAAGTAGTCCTATAAATATACCAACACATGCAGCTATATAAAGTCTATGTACAGTAGGTGTGTCTATTACACATAAATATATCTCATTTTTACACTGAAAAAGGGAAAATAGGTAGGCCAAGTCTCACTAGTAGTCTCCACCAACTCACTGACAAATATAGCACAAGCCCATAATGAATCAAAGACACACCACAGACTATGAAGGGCATCCCAGTACTAACCCAGTATTTATATACCACTCACTGTTTAGCTGCAACAATGCTCAGCCTCTGCCTGCATTTTTGGATGCAGCTTTTATCCCTAGCTCTCATACTCCCTTTCTGCCTTTCTCTCTCTCTCTTTCTTTCTTTTTACTTTCTTCTGTCCTCCCTTGTGGTTCCCCTTTCTCTCTCCTTCACTCTCATTCTTTTTCTGTGGCCAATTTTCTGCCTCATCGCTTCCATAAGCTCTACCTCTCATTGCCCTAACTCAGAGTCAGTTCATTTTAACCTGAGAGACTGCCTGGTTGGCATGATGTATAGTCTCTCATGGTTTGCTGCAGGGCATGCACACTGACCAATGCACCAGAATAGACTTGCTGGATGTGAAATACTTTAATTCTCTGCACAAAAAAAGAAAAAAAAGGGGGACAAGGCAGTAATGTGAAGGGCAGGAGAGAGTGTGCATTCAGCCTTGTGTGTGTGTGCGTGCATCTGAGTAACCGTGCATGGAATATTTGAGGTGTCCTGACTAGTCAGTGTTCTCCAGGCCTTGTCTCGCCCCCCGGGTGTGTCACCGTTAGAGCCCCCACACAGGGCGTCTCTCCAGCGGTGTCGCTCCCTGCCTCTCCCCCCCAGCACTCTCACTGCATTGGCCCTGCTCCTGCCACAGTCAGGTATTGTTCCATATTTTTATTCGTTTAAATATGCAGATTGTTAATTGATGTATGCTCAGTTCTGCATGTCTTCTTGTCTCTATCCAGCAGACATGGGGCAGTCCTCATCTTCAGTGCGCCTGCGGTCTGGAGGTTCTGGTAGCTGCAGGAGGAGGAGGCTGTTAAGACCTGGGTCAGAACCGCTACAGGTCAACATAGTGAGTATAATATACACACGCTTGCAAATAATGGCATTGCGTAATTTTATTTCTTTTATTTCCTTTTAGACTTTTCAGGCCTTTGGACAGATTTATTTAAAAAAACAAACACTGCACACAGTGGACGGTATGATGACTGATAGCTTCTCTCTGATACCGTTAATATTGGAGTTTACAAGGCGTTGCTCAGTGTTTCATCAGATAATGAAGGGACTGATCCGTGAAGATGGTGGCCACGTGGATTAATGTCACGGAGTACTCTTTGGCCATTACTCATCCTGAGTTGCACACCCAACATTTCAGATGTGTTGTTTAATGTGTCGAGTGCAATTCACTCAGACCAAATTGTTAATTTTCACAGCAGATAGAGAAATAGCAGTAAATTCTAAATAATACTCTTTGCATGCTGGATTCTCTTAAAACTGTCTAGAGTGTCAGTTGTGTAAAATTGGCTGTAGAGTATGCTGGAATAATGCTGCTCGGGAGGTGAAACCAGGCATTTCGGAATCAATGCTTTGAAGTGGAAGTGGCCTCTAGAGGATTCTAGTGAAAGGAGATACAGAGTCTTCTGATACATCCTGACAGGGTAGTGGCACAAATTTCTAGTGCTGGGTCCAGCAGCTCTACTTACAGAACTATAATGCACAAGACAAACACTGTTTTTTGTTTTGAAAAATATTAAGACTAAAAATAAAGTGTCAGGAAACCACTCCTCTTTTTGATACACGTGACCCAATATAGCAAACAGTGCCCAAAAAGGGTCTGCAAACCTTTTCATACATTGTCTGGTTGTCTTCTTTATGTTATTCTTTCTACCCCCAAACTTGCCATGATTTGTCTAACTTTGAGCAACATTTTAGGGTTTTTTCTACCACTAAAATTATGCTTTTAGCTTTTTGACACAAAAAAGGAAAAAATTAGGTTCACTGATGTTTGTTCCTTTTTTAATATAACTGTGCTTTTGTGGGTACAATCCAAGTAGAAATGACTTTGGGTCTAATGAAACTTTTAATAATTTGCTCACATTACTTTTTCCAGAATGTTTTAATCTCTCTGCACTCCCAAACTCACTGTTCCTTTCACCTCTGTGCATCATTCATTTATTGTAATAATTAAAGTGCTTTAATCTGAAGCGCATCTGAGTAGCTAATTTCCAATCCTCCGCTGAGATTTCAGGTTCCAAGTCTTTGTTCCATGTGTGTTCAGTTTTTCTAGGTCTCTAAAGAACTCGATATAAACTCGTAAAAGATGTTTTTTCCCCAGAAACAGTCTTTTGTCATCATTATTTCGACAAGTGTAGTGAGTGAATTATGTTTGTGTTTTTAAAAAGCTCAAAATAAAAAAAAGGCTTCTTTTCAGATCAGATGTATCCTTCAGGTCTTTAACATCACAGTTTGGATGAGACAGCTCTTAAGCCTTTTCATTGCTTTAGAGGGCCAAAATTTGAATGTAGAATCTGCATTTCCTGCAGTGTAAAACCGGTTAGACCACACTGTGACAGTCTCTTTGTTTTAAAGATTTTTCTTACATTATATCAGAATGGAGCTACATGTTTAAAAGTCAGCTTACCAGCCTGCTTTGGGATAAATATGGAAACTTCAACGAATATTATTTATTTGTAGTATCAGAAAAGTATTTTTTTTTTACTCAGAAATCACATAATTCAATGCTTTTAGTTGCAAAGGTATATTGCTACAAGTTGCATTTTCCACATCAGTCTCAAATTTCCAGTTATTTACAAGCAGTCAATGAGGACTGACTACAATATATGAATTACATTAAGGAGTCTCTTCTCATAGCAGTAATGCTGTCTGCTCAGCTGCTGAATTATGATCCCCGGGCTTTCGGTCCTGGCATGTCTTCCCATTGAAATTTTGTAAGCTGTGCCTTTGAAGAAGTGACACTACTGCATTTATAGGCTTTGATTATAACTTTTTTCTCCTGCTGATCTAAATAGTGTTTGTGAAACACTGCGCACTGTTGCCATGACACTCACTGGCTCCAGTTCATCTTCTTGCTTCTATCTTTAGGCAGCCTTTTTAAGCGTGAGCTAAATAGAGAAAGTGTGTGGGTGAGAGAGAGAGAGGCAGAGAAAAAGGGGTGGGAGAGAAAAGAAGAGAGATGCTCCCTTTGTCGTGGTCCTCCCCTGGGGTAGGGAACATGGACACATAACACTGGCAGTGTCTTATGTGTGCGGTTGAGTGGTGAGAAAAGTTTATTTGGAGCAGGCTCAAACGCTGGGATCCAAATAAAATCAGTAACGATAGCTTTATTGTCATTATAGTTACTGTTTAACAATATGACTCCTTAAAAAGCAAAGGGGCGCATGGTGACTTAACCTGATAGTATATAGATGATTGATGGATGGATCTCTCCGGGTCTTCATTGTTAAAAAGCTCTTGTTTGTGATACAGCGTAGTGTATATTATAGTCTTCCTGTTTGGATGACTGGTAGAGGCCGGAGGCCGCAGGCACAGAGAAAGCATTCTCACTGCAGTGGATTAACTGCTAATGCTGACGCCTCTCTTCTCCCTTTCATTTAAATGGATTTCTCCCCCAGTCAACCTCCTCTCCTCGTCTCTCCTCTCTTCTCCTCTCCTCTCCTCTCCTCTGACAAACTCTGGCAATAGGCGTCTTTAATTCCTATGCAGATGAGAGGACAGTTTCCTGTGTGTTACTAATGCTGTGCCTGAAGCTCTGCTGTCAGCTTGTCAGTGAAGGGGACTGTCTTATTAACAGCTTCATGCAGATTAAGAGTTTCAACAGAAATCTTCTATGATTAAGTTTGGGCGAACCTAGGTCTGTCTGGACATAATCATATTATGCAATGCTATCTATTTATTATGAACGCATGACTCAGCAGGCAGTGGTTAGCTGGGCAAGAAATGGAGCAATGATAAAAAAGGACAACGTCCTTATGCACACACTTAAACACACGCGGGGAGTAACAGTGCACAAAATTTCTGTTCGCTAATTTAATCGGACACACTCGCAGATTTCGTTTGTATTTGCATCCTGGGTCTTTGGCCCCCATGTGATACACCCTCTTTGCAACCCTCAGATGCACACACACACTTCACATGCTCTTCTGATGTATTCAGTATTCATCTGTCAGGATGTATGAGTCATTGCATTGACAACTTCATTATTTGGTGTGGAATGAACAGCACCAGCTAGTGATATTTCTGTCAACCACACTATGAATGTGTAGCGTTTGTTTCACCCTGGGCTTTCTTTTAGAGTCCCGAGAGAGAAACCATGGGAATAGCTCCACCTCAAAATAACTGCACGTTTGTACAGTTTGCACTCAGAGCCAGTGGCGACCTAGAATCCTTTATCAGTGTTCATTCAGCATTGTTCCTCAGTCAAGGTGCTGTAACTTACCGCAGCCACCAGCTAATGCTGTTTTGTAGGACGCTGTAGAATCTGATAAATAGCAGTGCCACTGACTAAACCCGAGTAGATGGTTGTGTCAGAGCCTCCCCAGGCTGTTTCTTCTTAAGAATGATTTTCTGCCTGTCAGGTGTGTGCATGTTGTTGTTAATGGCGCATAAATGCCCATGTGACTGTGCTTACATGTATGGGTGTGTGTTTCTGCGTGTCAGCGAGTGAGGCAGAGAGGCTAAGGGCCTTTCTCTTATATAACTGAGGAGAGCGTTGCCTTCACTCTCTACAAAACCCATTTCCACTTTTCAGATGGCTGCACGTTCCCTGGGACTGGAAGAACAGTGCCTGCGTATTAATTCTCTGAGTCACTGGTGTATCCTGTTTTACAGTAGCTCCGCATTACACTCTGTATTTTGTCAGAGCATGCATGCCTGTGCAAGTACTGATTTGCGTTCATGCTTTCTTGAAAAACACTCCACTGTTCTATCTCTCAAGCTGTGATATGTTGTTGACAGTGTGGGACAATGGAGAAATACTGGTGGATGATTTCAGCAATATCACAACATGCAGTCATTTCACCTATGAGACCGTTTCAGACCTAAAGGACTTGGGGCTTGTTATCCAGCACCAGTTGTAGTTTCATGTGTACAAGTCTTCCCTGGCTGATTTTACCCACAGCCATCACTATCCACTGCTAGTGCTACTGTAGCACCTTGAAGGTGCACTGCATTGTCCTGTATAATATATAAAACCAATTAAACTAAGTTTGTGAGAGAGACTTGTAATGATGCCAGGTTTAGCAGAGAAAGCTGTAATTTGAATCGCCTATACAGAAATGGGTTAGAAAATACAAATGTCAATAAATAAAAAGTAGCTAACTTTCAATATGACGCATATTCATAAGGAATATGTGTAAAATATATTTATTATATTTAACAATTTATTAAAAGAGCTAACCCTGGATGTATTCAGTTAATATTGATGGTCAGCTCTTTGAAACCCCTATGTTATCTGTGATTCTTTACTCTCTCTGTGCACATTTAGAGACAGTCGCTCTGATTTGAAATACTTTAACTAACTTACTCTGCTGAGTGTTTGGAGTCTGAATAAAGAAATAGCTCCGGCCCTGGTCACTTTATCCTGCATTAAAATAATGAGACAGAAGCTAACTGTCTGTACAGTGTTCTCCTAGTTAGAATGTATCCTGCAGGCCTCTGTGAAAGATGGGGTGTATTTTTCTGGCAGCTGCCACTTCTTGTGTACATTATTTAGCTTAACTTTCTGCCTTTGACCTCCCTGACTCCCAGCTACGCCACATGCGGCATCAGAGAAAACCCTCCATCACATCCACGTATTATGCAATCTCCTTGCTCCTTGTAGTTCTTCTTCTTCACCCCCCCCCCCCCCGTCTCGATCCGCCTCCCTTTCTTCATGACCTCAGCGCTCGTCATCCCTTCCTCCATCACGTCCATCTCTGTTTTCTCCTCTGTTCACATCAAGTTTTCTTCCCCCCCACTTCTTTCTGTGCTTGCTTACCTTCTCCCCCCTCTTCCTCTATTCCTCCCTCCAGGCATGTGAAAACACCTGCTTCCTGTGGCCTGTTGTGTGGATGT